AGACTTACCAAGAAGATCTCAATGGTGCCCAGGATGTACATGGCCCCAGCAAACGTGGTGCCCAGGTAAAAGCAGAGCCCAACGGCCCCTCCAAACTCGGGGCCCAGCGACCGGGAGATCATGTAGTACGAGCCGCCGGCTGCGAGGGCAGGACGGGGCAGGTCAGGGACGCGCACTTCTCATGCACTCAGACCTCATGGCCTGGGTGGGGGGCCCACAGGCACAGGGCAGCTCTCTCCCAGGCCCCAGAACACGGGCCGAGGAAGGGGAAAGCCCTAGTAGGGATCATGGGTCCCCCGTACCCCTCACGGGCCCCTCCACCCCCATGGCCCCCTCCACCTTCAGGGCCACCCCACATCCCGCATGGCCCCTCTGTACTCCTCATGTGCCCCCCGCGTCCCTCATGGGCCTCTCTGAATGCCTCATGGGTCCCCCCGCACCCCTTATGAGTGCCCACGCAGCCCTCATGGGCCCCCCTGCACCCTTCATGGTCCCCCACATCCACCACGGGGCCTCCTCCACCCCTGATGGCCACCCCAAGCCCTCATGGTCCCCTGCACCCCTCTTGGGTCCCCCTCCACCCTTCATGGCCACCCCACACCCCTCATGGCCCTCCTGTACCCCTCCTGGGCCCCCCCATGAGGAGTGGGGGGGCCCAGGAGGGGTACAGGAGGCCATGAAGGATGCAGTGTGGACTTGGGACTGAGGGTCAGCTGGCTGGACAGACATCATGGAATGACAAGAAGATGTTCAACGAGGAAGAAACAAAGGTGAAAGGAAGTGAATACAGGTGAACACAGACAGGGCCTACTTTCCACCTGAGTGAGAGAGGCCCCCTGGTGCCCGCCTCAGCAATGTCTTACTGTCAGTGCCACCACCATGGTAAAGGGGAGCTTGAGTGGGCACCCCGGGAGAGCCCAGACCGACATCAACACAGGGAAAGGTCACAGTGAGCAACCCCGGGTCACAGGGCAAGTGGCCCTTCCCTGGTGCCTGCCCTCCCCTGGGGCCGCCCTTCCCTGACCCACCCTCACCTGGGACAACGCCATTGGTGGCAATAGCGCTCATTGAGATAGCCGTCAGCATGGTCTAGGAGAGACAGGGCACTTTAGGAGAGGAGACCCAGTGGGTGCCGTGCCACCAGGTCCCATCCAGGTCCCAGCCGGCTGTGAGCTCAGAGGGGCCAGGGGAGGGGTGAGCAGGGTGCGGGACCCCCCAGCTCAGGAGTGCAGCCAGCCCAAACACCCATTTTTGTCCAAGCATGCCACGGGGTGCTGGGGGGACCCGTCTATGTATCTGAAGTACAAGGGGGCCACCAAGTACAAGAGGGTGTCTTCCACAGTGGAAAGTGACCTCCTCAAACACCCCTGTCAAGGCCTGCCACAGTCCAGGTACGGCC